TTTTTTAATCAATGCACACAAAAAAGTAAATGCCACCTCTCAAGAAATAGACTTGCGCTATCCTTGGTAGTGCACGCCTGTGATTCTAAAATTCCAGAATTTGAGGCAGGATTGTGAGATCAAGGCCAGCCAAGAATATGTAGTAACAAGACCTTATCTCAAAAGCAACTATAAAGTTAGGTGGATGTGGTATCATGTAGCTCTAATCAGACTCTGGCATGCTGGGAGCGGGGGGGGGGGGTCAGAGGCAGGAGACCATTGCAAGTTTGAAGCCCGTATTTTACATAGCAAGTTCCAGGCTGGCTGGGGCTACAGAGTAAATCCTGTGTCAAAAACAAAACAAAACTCTGGGGGCTAGAGAGATGAATCCGTGGTTAAGAGCACTGGCTGCTCCTCCAGAGGTTCTGAGTTCAATTCCCAGCAACCACGTGGTGACTCAGAACCATCTATAATGGGATCTGATGCCCTCTCTGGCGTGCGGGCACACATGAAGACAGAGCACTCATACCCCTCCCCCCCCAAAAAAACACACACACACACACACACACAAAAAAAACTGAATAACAACATGTAGTGCCTGTCACCAACCACTGTGATTAAGATGTATTGTCAGCAGATAAATGGAATCAGTAACATCTCTTTTTTCTTTCAGGTTTTTGAGACAAGGTCTAGTATTAATTTTCTATATAGCTAGGCAGGTAGCATATGCCTATAGTTTTTGGGAAAAATCAGTCCCAAGTTTAAAGTCATCAGCCACATGAGACCGTGTCTACACATAGGAAGGTTTCTGTGGAGTCCGGCTGGGATATGACACCTGTCAGAAGTCACACATGGCTGTCAAGGCTCAGCACCAGTCCTGCTCTTGGTGCTCCTGAGTTGGTTGGGTGTTCACTGTGATACTTCTGAGATCCTGTATGTGGAACCCATTGTTGTTTCAAGTGTATATTTCATTTTCATTCTTCCAGTTGTTAACCACGCTGGTGGCGCTGGGGACTGCGGGGGGGGGGGGTACAGCTTGGTTCACACCACCACTACACCTGGCTGTCATCTTTCTTCCCAAAGGCCTTCCCACCGCTTTGCCCCACTGGGCAGCCAATTGCTCACCTCTGGCTTGAATGCTTCTCCCCGCTTTCTGGTTTCTTCCATGGTCTTGTATGTCATTCCCGACTTTCTTTTTTGATGAGAACCAGCAAAACTTAACTTCTGTAAACATCGTATTCCTCAGCAGCTTTTTTCTCCTTTCTCCTGAAATAGCAAATAGAGCCCCGGCTCCTGGACTCTGGGACCTTGGTCCCTTGTAAACACCTTTATCACACCGCAGGAGTCGCTTGTAACTCTTGTAAATAACCTGGGGTTAAAACCTAAGCTGTTGGTAAGTGGGTGCTGATAGACAACGGAATTTAGCTAACACTTCAGATCCGGACATGATCTTACAAAATGTTGTGGGGGACTGGAGTGATGACTCAGTGATTTAGAGGATTTGTTACTCCAGCAAAAGACTCTGACTCCTAGCACCCACACAGTGGCTCACAACTGTCTGTAACTCCAGTTTCAGGGAATCTAGTGCTCTCTTCTGGCCTCTGTGGGCACCAGGGTCACACATGGTAGACAGACATACATGCAGACAAAACATTCATACACCTGAAATAACTAACTCTAAAACAAACAAAACACATATGGATGGTGTGGGCTCGGTTTCTAGAATACATAGGAAGTGGTTGTGTTTCAACTGACACTCCTGTGCTGTCTACCGGGAAATCTCTCCCCGGTTTAATCAGCATTGCTGTCTCTTCTCTTTAAGTCAAGAAGTATTACCAAAGATCCATGAGGGCAAGCAGTACCCTTGTACCTTGGTGGGGACGTGGAACACGTGGTATGGCGAGCAGGATCAAGCCGGTAGGAACAAAAGTCTTTGGGATAAATACCTTATTTTGTAAATGTGGTACTTGTTTTTATAGTCCTTTTCAAGTTCCATTCTGGTTTCACGGATCAAGTGGTTTCTACAGTAACTCACTGTAAAAATTACTTTTTTAATGTTCAAATCTGTTATGAAAACTTTGTAAAGTAACTCAAGGGCAGATACAGGCACACTACAATGTTGTACTGTATTCCTGTGGTGGATACAAGGCGCACTACAATGTTGTCGTATGTTCATATGATAGATACAAGGCTACAATGTATTGTGTTCATGTGGTGGATACGAGGCACACACTACAATGCTGTACTGTATTCACGTGGCATGCATTCTGTATTGTCAAGGTAAAAATGCCTCGAGACTGAATGTACGCTATCTTTTAAAATACATTTCAGTCCACCTCTGGAGGTACGAAGGAGGCTATCCAGCCCTCACGGAGGTCATGAATAAGCTCAAAGAAAACCAGGTAACAATTTGGGTGTGGGTGTGGGTGTGTGTGGAGAGAGAGAGAAAGAGAGAGAGAGAGAGAGAGAGAGATTCTTGTGTAGTATAATGATTCAGGTGTATTCACACAGAAGACACTTACCAGCTTTTGTTAGTAAACCGTTTAGTTTTCATAGTAGAAATTTCATCATATGAGTTCTTAAAATTGTATGTAAACATGAAATTACTAGTTTTTGTTGTTGATGTTTATTTGTTGGTTGGGGTTTTTTGTTTGTTAGGTCTTTGAGTTTTGTTGGGTTTTTTGTTTTGTTTTTTTCAGGGTTTTGTTGTTGTTTTGTTTTGGGTTTGGTTTTGGTTTTTCGAGATAGGGTTTTCTCTGTGTAGTCCTGGCTGTCCTCGCTTTGTAGACCAGGCTGGCCTCGAACTCATAGAGATCCACCTGCCTCTGCCCTCTGAGTGCTGGGATTAAAGGCGTGCGCCACCACCACCACACAGCCAAAACTACCAGTTTTAATACTATCACCATCAGAGCTCCTGCATGATAGCACCTTGAAACTGACAAGCCTGGACTCTGACACTGGCCACGCTGCATGGTAAACTCAGCCCTGGGTTACAAATAGAAGCTGTCAGCCACAGCATTGTTTGTTTTGTTTTTGAATTTTTGTTTGTTTGTTTGAGACAGACAGTTTCTTACAGCTTGGGCTAGCCTCAAACTCTTTATGTACCCAGGGATGTCCTTAAATTTCTGATTCTCCTGGCTTTTCAAATGCTGGACTCACAGGTGTGTGCTACTATCTCTGGTTTAAGTGGCACTGTGGATCAAACTCCAGCTCAGTAGTTTAGAGGACTTGTTGTGCTTCCAGAGGACTGTTGATTTCCAGCATTCACAACCACCTGGAATTCCAGTTCCAGGGGATCTGATGCCCTCTCTGACTTTGCAGGGCACCAAGCACTCATGTGGTACACACACATACATGCAAAAATAAATAAATCTTTAAAAGAAAAAAATCTGGATACATTAGGAAGTGAGAGGGCACACTCTATCCATTATTTCCATGCAGTAGATAAAAACTAAGATAGTCTTACTTATAACCGTGTTAGCCTTTGCAATTTGGTTGTTACTAAAGTCTATTTATATATAAGTATCCAAAGATTTCATGAGCATTTTTTTTCACCCAAAGGAGTTTGTGAATTTCCGTAAAGCCAGAAGCGACATGCTTCTCTCCAGGAGAAATCAGCTGCTGTTGGAGTTCAGTTTCTGGAATGAGCCCGTGCCGAGATCAGGACCCAATATATACGAGCTCAGATCCTACCAACTCCGAGTAAGTAGTGAATGCAGGCCAGGCCTCCCTGCACAGCTTCCTGATGCAGACAGTGAAATGAAGTGAGCGTTTTGTTATGTGTGTTTAGCATCTTATATGTATTTTTCAGGGGTGGTGGCAGTGATTGGAAACAGGGTCTCCAATAGCCCCAGCTGGCCTTGAATTTGAGCTCCTGCAGTAGTCTCCCGAGTGCTGGGATTACAGATAGCCAGCATCACCTCCGGCCTGTATTTTGATTTGACCTCTTTTCTTCCAGTCTAGTCTTTTTGTTTTACTTTATTTTCTCTTTCTCATCCTTTTTCTTCTGCTAAATTCTTTTGTATTTATGGCATTATGTATAATGTTTATTACTTGATGTTTTTCCAAGCAATTTTCTTTTTTTTAATTTATTTATTATATATACAGTGCTTTACCTGCATGTGAAGGGGATTCTCAACCAATCACCTTGTTTGGGGGGGGGGCACCAGATCTCATTACAGGAGGTTGTGAGCCACCATGTAGTTGCTGGGAATTGAACTCAGGCCCTCTAGAAGAACAACCAGTGCTCTTAACCTCTGAGCCATCTCTCCATCCCCCAAGTAATTTTCTTGAGGATGACTTCAAACTTGGTATGTAGCCAGGGATATCCTCTTCCTTCTACCTTCTGAGCATGGGGATCAAATGTGTGCACCACCACGCCTGATGTACACCACGCTGAGGGTCCAGCCCGGGGCTGTGTGTGCCAGGCAAACACTATAAACTGAGCTGTGTTACATCTCCAGCCCCAAACATCTTTCTGTTCAAGCGCAGAAAGCACAGATATGCAACAACTGCCCTCTCTAAGGCAGGAGTGCCTCAGAAACCCTGAGTGCTGCACAGATTGTACAGCCCTGTCTGAGTGAGAGCGAGAGGGAGCCAGGCCTGGCAGCAATGGCTTTTCATCCCAGCACTTGGAGGCAAAGGCAGGCAGATCTCTGTGAGCTCAAAGTCACCCTGGTCTATATAGCCAGTTCCAGCCCTGGTCTATATATAGCAAGTTCCAGGACAGCCACAGCTCCATAGAGAAATCCTATCTCAAAAAAATAAAATAAAATAAAATAAAATAAAATAAATAAGGGGGCTGGAGAGATGTGAAGTTAAGAGCACTGATTGCTCTTCCAGAGGTCCTGAGTTCAGTTCCCAGCAACCACATGGTGGTTCACAACCATCTGTAATGAAATTTGGTGCCCCCTTCTGGCCTGCAGGCATACATGTAGACAGAACACTGTAAACAAAGTAATAAATAAATCTTTTTTTTAAAAAAAAAAGATTAAAAAATGAGAATGTGGGGTTTTTTTTTTACAACTTTCTAGCTGTATCCCTTCTGTGACTAAAAATAATGACCTAGATATAGCCCCATTTTTATTGGTACATTCTGGTTGTCCATCCAATAGAAAACATAATTGTGTCCACTTTCCATCTTCTTTCTATATACATCCTTCACCCTTGGCAGCCTCCAGTGGCAGCAGCATTACAAGGTGTACATCTCGGTGATGTAATGATCTCCTTTGTACTGGGGAAGGTGGAAAGAGGTCCTTCAGTGCATCAGGGGATGGGCTGACCGTGCCATGTGTTGGTTGTTTTCTCAAATGATGCTACAGTGATTGCGTGGGAACACAGCAGATAATCACAGTTCCTAGTCTATATTTTCATACAGCTAACCAAAATCTAAATTCCCTTTCAGCCAGGAACAATGATTGAATGGGGCAATTACTGGTGAGTATATTATTGTGTTGAGTCTGTATATCTCATTAATTATTTTAAGCCATGCCATGAATTATTTTTGTTTGGCTTTTTGAGACAATCTCATGTCCCCACCTACTTTCAAACTCACTGTGTAACCAAGACAGGCCTTGAACTCCTGATCCTTGTGCCTCCACCTCCCAGGTTCCTGGATTCCCAGGTGTGAACCACCACATCTGGCTCACACTGTAATCCTTAGGTGAGAAACCGTCAAATGCCTTGACTCAGTGCTGTGCTTTCCCAGAGTCTCACTGCTGCCAGGGTTGTATTGAATGCTGGGCTCCAGTGCTCCTGCCTCCACCGCCAACAAACCTGGAAGTGCAGACACACAACACTGTCCTTTTTTTAGGATTTAGTTTTCTTTTGTGTGTCTGGGCATTTTGTCTGCATGTATGTCTGTGTACTATGTGCATACAGTGCCCAGAGTCCAGGAGAGAGTGTTGGCTCCTCTGGAACTGGACTTTCAGGTGTTTGTTACCCACCGAGTGAGTGCCTAGGAGATGGGCAAGTGCCTTTAACTGCAGAGCCCACTCTCCAGCCACCGTGATTTGTCTTCTTTGTTCCCTTTGTCTTCTTCCTCCACTGTTGTTTGTTTATTGATAGGGCCTGGTGCCTGAAGAGGTCAGAGGACAACTTCCTGGAGTTGCCTCTCTCTTCCTAAGGCCTGGATCCCTACGATGAAACTCAGGTCATCAGGTTTGGCTGCAAGTGCCTTTAACCCCTGAGTCATCTTACTGGCCCCTGATTTAGATTGCCTTTTTAAAATGTTTTTGTGAAAAATCTCAAACATGTACAAAACTAGAGAGAACGATATGATGGAGCCCCCATTCTATACTTATTTCTAAGCTTCCATAATTATAAAGTATTTTTATTTCATGAGCATTTATGTTTTGCCTACATGTATGTCTGTATGAAAGTGTTGGATCCCCTGAAACTGGAGTTAAAGGCAGTTTATGAGCTACCATATGGGTACTGGAAATTTAACCCGGATCCTCTAGAAGAGTACCCAGTGCTCTTAACCACTGAGCCATCTCTCCAGCACTGCTTCTATAATTATTAACACAAGCTGAACATCATATAAAATTCCACCTCTTAGGAGGTTAAAGGACAATCACAAGACACAGCAAGACCCTGTCTCAAGAAACAAACAGACAACAAAAGAAAAATATGTACACAAAAGTAAATTACTAACACAGGCCAGTCGTGATTAGGTCTGACCTCTTAGGAATTACCAAGTCCACATGCTGTTTCATCCTTAACCGTTTCAGCAGGCATCTCTCCAAAAAGGCTTGCAGACAAAATCCCAGTCCGAATGAATCCACTCTCTACACTCCTGAGGGGTAGCTCCTCGGAGACCTGGGGGTTTGTTACATTAGCAGGGCAGCTGGGATTGATGGTGCAGCTGTTTTTTGTTTTTTGTTTTTCTGTAGTTTGAGTAGCAAGGCAGCAATGGAAGATTAAATGGACAAAGTAGGAAGACTGACCGTTCTCTCCGAGAGCCGGTACCGAAGCCTAATGTTATGACTGATGCCTGTACTAGCACTCAGGGAGGGCAAAGCAGGAAGATCTCCAAGGTTAGATGCAGGCTGGGATACAACGGAAGATGTCTTTAAACAAGTATAGTCTTGGCACATGGACAAACATATAATGTAGGTCAGTGGTCCAGAGCTGAAGGGCCAGAAGTTAACACTTGACCGCATTTATGAGCAGGTGCTTTTTGAAAAAATGTGCCTAAGTAAATCTTCCTTCAGTGAGGGAAGATAACTATTTCTTGGCATCAAAAGGTGCCAGGAAAACTGGGCATAAAAAAAATTGTTTGCACTCCTGGCTTATATTGTTTAAAAATAAAAAATGAACCAACTCAAGGGCTGGAAAGATGGCTCAGCAGTTAGTAGAGTACTTAGATTGGATTCTTTTTTTTTTTTTTTTTCCAAGACAGGATTTCTCTCTGTAGTCCTTGCTGTACTAGAACTCACTCTGTAGACCAGGCTGGTCCTGAACTCAAGAGATCCACCTATTTTTATTTCCCTCCTGAGTGCTGGGATTAAAGGCAAGTGCCACCACACCCAGCATCAGGTTGGGTTCTAAACAACCATGGCAGCTCACAACCATTTGTTCTTCCAATTTCAGGGGGCTCTGATACCCTCTAATGGCCTCCAAGGGCACTGCATACATACAGTACACATACATGCATGCAGGTACTCATTCATAAACATAAAATAAAAATAAACATTTTCTTTAAATGTAAGACGTTAAACATGAAAAAAGCCCAGGGAAACTCTTTGTTAGTCTGAACTAGGCAAAAGTTCTTAGGTTCAGTACAAAATCTCTAGCTAGCTAGGTATTGTAGCTTCCACTTCTCTCAACACAGGAGAGGGAGAGGGAGAGGCAGGAAGATCAGGAGATCAAGGCTATCCTCAGCTACATAGCAAGTTTGAGGCCAGCCTGGGCTACCGAGATTCTGCTTCAAGCAAACAAAAAAGAAATATATATATTTGATTATCTACTGTGATAAGTACCATTGTATCAAGGGGTTTTTGTTTGTGCTTTTGAGCTGTTCATGTTAGCAATTTAGATGTTCATACAACTAGGATGTTACTAATTAATATTTTTTCACAGTGAATCTACAGGATATGTTGAGGTTACTCAGTTATTTTAAACTTTTCACATAGCCAGTTCCTCATTTGATTTGTATTTTGGCGTGTAGGTAACTGTTAAGATGGTTGTCTCCTCCGCAGCACACATTTCTGATTATTACCAGGCTACGGCAAGTATATTTTCTCTGCCTTCCATAACCAAATTAGAAAAGTCCAGAATGAAATTAATAATCCAGAATATTTTATCACGATCAATGAAAAACTCTTTCCTTCCTCCTGAGCAGTTACAGTGCACAGTTCAACTGATTTCCTTAATTCAAGACAATTGATCATATTTGTAATTTTTTGACGATATCTATATAATTTGTGGGTAATCCATATGTGATTCACAACAGAGGAACCTGGAGGCCTTGGTGGGGGTCCCTGTGGATGAGCGTGGCGGCACACAAAGTGGTCCTCAGCAGCCAGGTTGCTGCTGTTCTGAGCCCAGTTAAGGTGGAAGAGAACACACTGGTCAGGCCATCTGGAGAATAGTACTCCTTCCTGGGCGTAGTGATGCCCACCTGTAGGTCTAGCATTCAGCAAGCTGAGGCAAGATCATAGTAAGACCCTATTTCAAAAAACTTAAAGTATTCTGTACCTTACTTAAGGGTTATTTTTTTCACTGTGGATATTCGTAGCTTATTTTTCAGGTTCTTATCATTTAAATAAATGAAGGTGAATCTATCTCCTCAAATTTCATCAGTGATAAGCCTTTCATGTGCCCGAGGCCAGGCCAGAGCACGGAAGTATTAATACAGATTTGCTGGGTAAACCATGGCAAGGACGCCCTTGATAGACCCAGTTTTGCTCTCATGTGGATGGGGTCTCTGCGTCATTTGAAAGCCCTGCCTTCATTTTTATCCGGATGATAGAAAATTGGTTTGGGAAAAATTCATTTTAAATATTTTCAAGATTTCAGGTGATCTCACTAAATGTGAAGACAGAGTGTCTGGTCCCAGGAGAAGATGATGTTTAAGTTTAAAAAACAAAACAAAACAAAAAAAAATTCTTGTTTTGCAGTATTAAATATTGAAAACAAAGAAGGGTTTTGTATTTGGTGACTGGTTTTGGAAGGCTTTGTTGTTGTTGTTTTTTTAATGATTGTTTTTAATCAAATTTTTATTGTTTCTTTTTTTGTTTTTTTAAAGCAGAGTTTCTTTGTATAACCCTGCTGTCCTGGAACTAGCTCTGCAGACCAGGCTGGCCTAGAATTCACAGAGATTCACCTGCATATTGACCAGTTGTGGGTCTCTGTGTTAGCTGCTGTTGCCACGCAAAGCCCTGATGAACATTAGCAGCATGGTCACCGCAGGTGTCCCAGGGCCTGTGATGTGTCTGTTCTCGGTGCTGGGCCTCGTTAGCAGTGTTGGGTATGGGGTCCATACCATGGACGAGGCCTCAAATCCAACCAAATGTAGTTGACTTCCCCACTAGCGTTAGTGCCACCGTCGCCCCAGGGGGCACATCTCATGAGGAAAGAAGTTATTGTGGGCTGCCAAGTTCACAGCCGTGAAGCAGTTCCTTGTAAGTTCGCAGGTCTCTTCCCCTCCCATTTATTTCAAGAATCAGAAGTTTATATTTAAATTGAGGAGTAAGCAGAAGTGCAACCACATATCTTCATATTGCTGTTTTTGTTTTGAAAAGTCATAGTTAAATATTATCTACTTCTTATAAAGATAGCTTTCTTAGGAGGCTGAGGCAAGAAAATCACGAGTTTGAGGTCACCTGGCCTACAAAGAATATTCTGAGCTAGCCTGGAGTGTAGAATGAGATCCTAACTTCACACAAAAATAAAAATAAAAACTTGATTGTATATAATACTTTGATATGCATTAAAAGAAAACAGTCTTCATTCCCAATAGCTGGCCCTGAGTTGAAGAAATACAGTCTGAGTCTTCGTTAAGAAAGGGTCTCACTATATAACATGGGCTAGCCTGGACTCACTGTGTAGCCCAGGCTGGTCTCTAACTTACTGCAGATCCTCCTGCCTTTCTTCGTCTCTGCCTTCCAAGTGCTGGGATTGCAGGTGTGCGTCAGCATCCCCAGGCTCCTCCCGACTCTCCTTAACTATCGGAACACTGCTTTTCTCTCATAGGGCCCGTGCCATCCGCTTTAGACAGGACAATAATGAGGCAGTTGGGGGATTCTTCTCTCAAATTGGGCAGCTATATATGGTGCATCATCTTTGGGGTATGTGTACTTTTCCTTCTTTTGAGACTTACTGGGATTGAAGAATTCATTACTAATGACGTAATAAACAGTGGGGTTAGTCTAGACTCAGTAACCTTAAACACGATAGCAGCCGCAAGCAACACAGGTGGATGGTAACTGCTGGGCTAACTAGAACAAAAGAGGCCAGCAGTACGAGGTCAGTGGGTCACTGGCCACAGGTCGGACCCAAGCCAGATCTGTTGGCACATGGCTGTAATCCCAGCACTCAGGAAGCCAAGGTTGGAGAACTGAGAATTCACTACCAGCAAGGGCTGCATGGAAGATTCCAGCCTTGAACTACAAAACAAGCCACGGTCAAAAACAAAAACAAAAGAGGCTGTTGGGGAGGTTACTAAACATTGGAAGGGGGAATGGGAGATGGATATAATTGTATTTTATTGCATGTATGTACGTAAGTAAAAATTAAAACTGGGAAAACCACAGCAGTCAGGGTTTGGAAAGATGGCACAGCAATTAGAAATTCACTATTTTTCCAGAGAACCCGAGTTCAGTACCTCCAGCTTATGACATAAACATATATACCTACACATAAATAAATTAAAAATAGGGGCTGGGGAGATGGCTCAGCGGTTAAGAGCATTGCCTACTCTTCCAAAGGTCCTGAGTTCAATTTCCAGCAACCACATGGTGGCTCACAACCATCTGTAATGGGGTCTGGTGCCCTCTTCTGGCCTGCGGGCATACACACAGAATATTATATACACAATAAATAAATATTTAAAAATTAATTAAAAATAAAAAAGGGTATGGCTGTGAGATAGGACATGTGCAAGGCCCTGTGTTCAGTCTTCATCAGAAAAAAAGATCCCCACAAATAGTGCAGACCGGTTACATAGTAGCATCACGGCTAGGAAGCTAAGTCTCAGTGGTTACATTGCCGCAAAAAAGATAACTTCATCCCTGCGCTTCCATCATCACTCCCAGAAACCCCTGCTGCAGCTGGGCTCTTCTACTCAGTGGAGCTTACGTAGAAACCTAGAAACCGAAAGCCTAATGATACATTATAGCAGTGACCCTCCCTCTTCCTAGCCTTGTCCACCAGTAGCCTTGTCCAGGACAGTGCATCATCTGGTGAGCTGAGATTTGGCTCCACATCAGCATCTGCGTTTTCAAATGTTCAAATCAGAGTTTATGAAGAAATAAAAAAAAAAAAAAAACAAATATAAAAACAGCAATCGGCCTGGAGAGTTGGCTCGGCCTTTAAGAGTGTTGCCTATTCTTCCAGAGGACCCGGGTTCAGTTGCCAGCACCCACATGGCTGCTCACAACTGTCAGTAACTCCAGTTTCAGGAGCTCTGACATCCTCACACAGACATACATGCAGGCAAAACATTGATGTGCGTAAATAAATAATAAGTCATTAACAAAAGGTTTGTTCTACAGCTGGTGAAGTGATTGACTGGTTAACAGCCCTGGCCGATCTCACAGAGGACCCAGTCTGTTTCCCAGCATCCACAGTGACTCACGGTCCCCTGTAACTCCAGTTCCAGAGGATCTGTGGCTCTCCTTTGGCCTCCATGACATGCACAGATACACATGCATACATACATACATGCAGGCAAACACATATACCTAAGATAAAAAATTAATTTAAAAAAAATCAAAATAAAAACACATGTTCTTCCCTGGTCGTATTGTACATGCCTGTAATCCCAGCACTTGGGAGAAAAAGGCAGGAGGAGTGTGAGTCTAAGGTTTATCCAATCTGAAGGTTCTCAGTCACAAATGGGCTGTGTTATCGAAGAAGCTTCCTTGCCTTGTAGAGACAGCATGTGGTCACTGGATTATAAAACCATGAGAGCAGGCAGCTTCACCGCTCCTAGAGGGCCTGCCATGGTTTCTCTCAGTCCATGCTTGCTGTTCTCCAAGTCAGTTACTGGGTGACCAAAACAGAGTCAGAAAGCAGGACAGCCACCTGAATGACTGTACTTCTAGAATGCGGGTGTTGTCTGATCGGGTCTTTCCCCTGTGTTTAAGCTTATAAAGATCTCCAGACCAGGGAGGACATACGGAACGCCGCGTGGCACAAGCACGGCTGGGAGGAGCTGGTGTACTACACGGGTAAGCTGCCAGAGACCCCGACACCTCCCGCTTCCAGTGTTATTGTTAGAAACAGCTGGGAGGAGCTGGTGTACTACACGGGTAAGCTGCCAGAGACCCCGACACCTCCCGCTTCCAGTGTTATTGTTAGAATTACAATGTGACGGGAAGGTTAACAGGACGTGAGATAGACCAATGTTCTTTTCTCTTTTGATACTAACTTGGCTTTGTTTCAGATTAACAACCTGGATTCTGTAATCCAGGGCGGTGCCTCATGACTAATCCAGCTCCCTGGAAAGTCAATGGATTGAAAGTGTTGGGCCAGCCTAGGCTACAGTTAGACCCTGTCTGAAAAAAGCCAGAGAAGGGGCTGGAGAAGGCCCAGGAGATGGGCACTGGCTGCTCTCCCAGAGGACCTGGGTCTAATTCCCAGAACCTCACGGTGGCTCTCAGCTGCCTGGAACTCCTGGTCTAGGGAGTCCAATGCCTTTTTCTGGCCTCCGTGGTCACAACACATATAGTCAAGCATACAGATAAAACACCTATATGCATATAATTAATAAATAAAATTATTTTTAAAGCACAAGACAGATAAAATAAGAATATTGATTGTTTCAACTGTTATATTGCCTAGTAGAGTTTTTTTTTTTCTTTTTTAACTTCCAGTGAACTGGGGCCGTATGTCAGAGTTCGGGCTTCTGATATTCTGACAATGAAAGCAGGTTTTGAGTCTTTTCTTTATTTTTTAATTTTTTTATTTATTATGTATACAATATTCTCTCTGCATGTATGTCTGCAAGCCAGAAGAGGGCACCAGACCTCATTACAGATGGTTGTGAGCCACCATGTGGTTGCTGGGAATTGAACTCAGGACCTTTGGAAGAACAGGCAGTGCTCTTAACCACTGAGCCATCTCTCCAGCCCGCCTAGTAGAGTTTTGAGACTTGTGGGTAGCTTAACTTTTTTATTTAATTATTTTATTTCCTTGCTGTCCTGGAATTCACTATATAGAATGGGCTAGCCTCGAACTCACAGAGATGCATCTGCCTCTGCTTCCCAAGTGCTGGGATCAAAGGCTTGCACCACCGTGCTGGACTAGCTTAATTTCTTAAAAATATTTTTTTAGTTAATTTGTTCTCTAAAAGTTACAATTTTTTTCTAAATTCTTTTCATTAAAGCCATCACTTCTCCAAAATAATTAATACATCAATTAAAAAGAATATATTTGCAAACAGGTATGGTGGCAAACACATTTAAAAGGTTAAGGATAAAAGAATGCCCCAAGATGGACTGGGCTACAGAGTAACAAACAGCAGCAATAATAATAGTGACAATGATAACAACTTTGGGGCTGGGGATATGGCTCAACCCTGGGTTTGACCTACAGCACTAAAATTCAAGAGAAATTATAAAGTTAATTTTTTTTTAGTTGGTTGTTTTGCCAGACAGGGTCTCACTGTGGAGATCTGGCTGTCCTGGAACTTTCTATGTAGACCAGGCTGACCTCAGATTCATAGAGATCAGCATAAAGTTAAATTCGATGGCTATTTAAGCTGCATTCTGAGTAAGAAAATGAGATAGCAACCCAGAAAATAGCTTGTTTTAGTTAAAAAAAAAAAAATCAGTCAACAGGTAGGCAGATCTCTGTGAGTTCGAGGCCAGCCTGATCTACAAGAGCTTGTTCCAGGACAGACTCCAAAAGCTACAGAGAAACCCAGTCTCAAAAAAAAAAAAAAACATAAAAACAAAACAAAACACACACACAATTGGGCCAGGACTGTGCCAGGAAGTGCAGGTAGGAGGGTCCCAGCTAAAGGCCTTTCTTGGCTACATAGGGAGTGGACACCAGTCACAAAAGAAACAAAATCCTGTAATTTTGTGTGTTATTCTGTTGTTTGATACACACTCTCTCTGTTTTAAACTTGGTGACAAATTTGAGGGAGTCCTCCTGCCTGGGCCTCCCACATGCTAGGATTACAGGTGTGGGTCACCATGCCTGTTTGTAATTTCCACTTAGATTTACTGGTTCCCTGAATGAGTCTCTCAGTCCACAGAAGTAGCTTTTACAAAATTTTTAAATGGGAAAAAAATTTCTTTTGCATTGATTTCCATGAGCGCTGTTGTTCTACTGGGGGTGGGCCCACCACAGCACACTTAACACGTGTGTCTGTGGGCCATTTGTGGGAGTCGGGTCTCTCTTCCGCCATGGTGGCTTCATGGATCAACACAGGTCTTCAGGCTTGGTGACAGGTGCCGTCACCCACTGAGCCATCTCACTTTTCCTTTCTGTGGGATACATCTTGATCCAGAATGATTTGAATTTTTGTTTGTTTTAGTTTAAAGAACCTTTTGAGAAAGCGCTATTTTTCACAACCGAGGCTTTCCCATCAAGCCCGCTCTCCAGTGGACTCTTTCAGTTTCACTAACATCCTAGTCGGTGCTGTCACAGATTTCAGCCCTGGTAACCGGTCTCTTTTCTAGCGCTCCCCTGCCTTCTAACAGCATATGTCTGTGGTCTGAGCAGGCGCCTTGGTCATGTGTCTTTACCCCAGTGCGTTTGGAAAGTCAGCCAAGTAACCTCCGCCTTGTTTCCAGTCCCTCTCATTCAGGAAATGGAGTCCAGAATCATGATCCCGCTCAAGACCTCGCCCCTCCAGTGAAGCTTCCATGTGCCTACACGGATCTCCGTGACGAATATATGTCATGAATTCATTTCAACCGTTCATCGAGTGAAAAAGAAACTGAGGTGTAAACTGCTGTACATAGCTTATAAATCTCTTTTCTTTAAGATTTGCATAATCACGAAGGGAAATCGGGGTTTGACTATGTGGAGCATCGACCTGCCGCATCTCTGCTTACCAAATGTTACTTAAGCCTCCAGCCCCTCAGGAAAATATGATAGCCGGGGGTGGTAGTTTGGCATTCAGGGAGCTGAGGCAGGAAAACTACAGTAAGTCCTAGGTCAATCTGGGCTACATAGAAAGTTTCAGACCAGCTTGGACCCCTGGGCTTGCATAGTGAGACCCTGTCTCTAAAACCAAAATTCAAATTCAAATCATCTCTGAGGAAAATTCCAGCTCTGAAAAAGAATTAGCTGTTGCTTTCTATTTTCAAAAATCTGTTTTATGTTTACAGATTTCTACAAATTTCCTTCCTTCAGGAAGAAATACAAATTACATCATATTTCCCAAGCAGTTTTTTGTTTCGTTTTGAACAAATTATGAGTGTACCCAATGGCTGAAAATGTTCTGATTTTGTGACTCTTGGCCAGTCAGCAGGCTGAGCGGTGCGGGTGCTCACGGTGTACCTGACCAGAAATGCCAGAAATGCAGGCTCCACCAGGCACTGTGTCCGAAGGGCTTGGCACGAACCAGTGCACCACATGCTATTTGGGAGTAAACACCTCAAATAGCTCTAATTTTATTTGTAATATTTTTCTATGAAACAAGTAGCTCTTGGAAAAGAGGTTTTTATTTTGTAAACCACCCTTTGTCACCTCTGACCTCTGGTTCTATTTTGGTAAGCTTCCAAGATCTTGTATGAAGGGCAGGGCACGCTGGGTCTCAGTTGGCATAAAGCTTCATATTCTGTCTGTCTCCGTTGGTTTTGTTTTTTAATATAGTGTGCCAATTCTGTGACTGTAATCATGTGGAAGTCCCATTGAACTGAAGAATTATGTCTGCCCTACAAATTGATATGTATAAAATAAAGTATGACTAAAACTCCTATCAGATGCCTAATTTTTACATGTGAAAGGTTTTCTCAAAGAACATAGAAAAGTAAATAAAATCCTCTTAATTTTCACATTTTGCATGATTGAAACCTTTTTGGGTTTGTTTTTGTTGTTTTTGTTTTTTCAAGACAGGATTTCTGTGTGTAATAACACTAACCTTCCTGGAACTCACTGATTGACCAGGTTGGTCTTGAACTCACAGAGATCCTCCTGCTTCTGCCTCCCGAGTGCTGGGGTTAAAGGTGTACACTGTCACAGCCCGGCTCTTTTTTTTTTCCCCCACAGAGTCTCACTCTATAGCCCATGTTGTCCCAGAGCCTTCAGAATCCTCCAGTCTTTACTTTCCCAGGTGCAGGGATTGTATACATGAGCAGCCACACCATTAAAAAAAAACACATGCCTTTAATCCCAGCACTTGGGAAGAAGAGGCAGGTGGATCACTATAAGGGCAGCCTGGTCTACAGAGCGAGTTCCAGGACAGGCTCCAAAGCTCCAGAGAAACCCTGTCTCAAAAAACAAAAAGGAAAATGAAGGAGCCGGGCAGTGGTGGTACATGTCTTTGATACCAGCACTGGGGAGGCAGAGGCAGGTGGATCTCTGTGAGTTCGAGGCCAGCCTAGCCTAACAAGAGCTAGTTCCAGGACAGGAACCAAAGCAACACAGAGAAACCCTGTCTCGAACAAAAGAAAAAGGGCCAGGGCTGAGGATGCAGCTCACTTGACAGAGTGTTCACACACAAGCTCTACTAGGTTCAGTCAGTCCCCAGCATCATACATATCCATATATGGGTACAGTGGCGGGTGCTCTAATCCCAGCACGGGTGAGGTGAAGGAGGAGGACCAGGAGTTCAAGGTCATCCTCAGCTACTTAATAGTTTGAGGCCATCTTGAGCTCCGTGAAACCCTGTCTCCAAAAAAAAAAAAAAAAAAAAAGGCAAAATCAAACAAAAAGCATGCCATGCCTCCTGTCGTGTTCCAGTCCGACTCATTCTCTGGATAAACTGCTATTCTAGTGGATCTGTACAGGCAAGTATCTCTCCGTGAAAGGGCAGGAGACCCCCAAAGCAGCAGCAGTGAGTGAGGGTCCAGAGATTCGAGGAGCCACCTTAGTGGTGGTGGAGATAGGATAGGGTGGTGTTTGTTTTGTTTTGGTTTGGTTTTGCCTCAACAGCCCTCAGAATTTTTTTTGTTTGTTTATTCATAGTTTGGGTCCCCCCCCCCCCCACAGGATTTCTCTGTGTAGCCCCGGCTGTCCTGGAACTCACTCTGTAGACCAGGCTGGCCTCAAACTCACAGAGATCCGCCTGCCTCTGATTCCCAAGTGCTGGGATTAAAGCCAAGCACCACCACCGCCTGGCAGCCCTCAGAATCTTAATTAATGGTCAATTTCATCTGGACAAGCGAGTGACCTGTCCACAGTCACATGAGTCCTGTCCACATCCTCCAAAGTGTTTTTGCGTCTCTCCTCATACAGTTCCTCCAAGCCTGAGGTCAGCAGTACCAGAACTGCTGTCTTCAACAGATAGATCACCAGGTCACGTCCAGAGCTGGAGCCATTTCCACAGCATTCTGTATCTAATGCATTACTAAGGTTAACAATTGACCTAAACCAGGCCCTTCCACCCTGGCCTACTACTTATTAACACTGGCCCCAGCGTTAGCATGTTAATACAGCCGAGGAAATCTCGCTCCCTAAGGCTCTGACTCTGAAGAACAGTGCTAGGAAGACAGGCCTGTGCGAACACACCTGGTGATCTGTGACACTGGGGACGGACCCCTAGGGCCTCCTGCAAGCTAGGCAAGCACTCTGCCAACTGAGCTCCTCCAGCTCTTCACCCTGTGTGAGCCTGTCTACGAGTGCACGTGCCGCGACATGCATGACACCAGAGGAAACCTTGCAAGAGTCTGTTCTCTCCTCCTATCATGTGGGTCCTGGGACTCAAACTCAGGGTGTCAGGCTTGTCAGCAAGAGCCTTTACCCACCGAGCTATCTCTGTGGCCCCCTTTTCTTTTTAATTATATTTTGTGGGTGTGTGTATGTGGACTCTGTTCTCTCCTTCCACCTTTGGGGATCAAACTCAGGTTGTCCTCAGGATTGACAGCAAGAGCCTTTACAAGTCCAGCCATCACACTGGTCCTCACCACCCTTTCCTCGTTTTGTTTTGGTTTGGTTTTTGCTTTTCTGTGTAGCCCTGGCTATTCTGGAACTTTTTTTGTTTGTTTGTTTGTTGTTTTTTGTTTTTTTGAGACAGGGTTTCTCTGTGGCTTTGGAGCCTGTCCTGGGACTAGCTCTGTAGACCAGGCTGGTCTTGAACTCACAGAGATCCGCCTGCCTCTGCCTCCCGAGTGCTGGGATTAAAGGCATGCACCACCATAGCCCGGCTATTCTGGAACTTTTTAAGACCAGTCTGGGCCTCGAACTCAGAGATCTACCTGCCTCTGCCTCCCAAGTGCTGGGATTAAAGGAGTGTTCACTACCACCACCGGGCCCTTTCTTCCTTTTTAATATTTTATGTGTGTGTAAATGTGCCTAAGTGTAGGTATATACAGGTGCCCGCCAGAAGAGAGCAGGGGATCTCCTGGAACTGGGTTTACAGGGGTAAGCCACCCTGTGTGGATCCTAGGAACCAGGTCATCTTTAAGAGCAGTAACCTAAATTCTTACCTAAATTCTCTCTAGCACTCCCAAAAGTTTATTATTAGTTTTACTCACATGTGCTTGTGTGTGTGTGTGTGTGTGTGTGTGTGTGTGTGTGAGCGCACGCGTGCGTGCGCGCTATGGGGGGGGGGAGATCAGAAGACAGTCTTGTGAAGTGGCTTCTCTCCGCCTTTATGTGGATTCTGGGGTTCTAACCCAGGTTGCCTGGGAAGCACCTTTTCCCACAGGGCAATCTCACTGCCCAGTTGTTTTGAGACAGGGTCTCCTGCAGATCAGGCAGGCTGGCTTCAGTCTCTCTCTGTACCCAGGGTGGGCCTTAATGCCCTGATCATCCGGCTTTGCTGGGGTCACAGGCAGGCACCACTGTTGCCCGCTTGCTTCGTTTCTTGGTTACAGAACCATGCTGTGAAGTCCGTTCTCCGGCCTCAGACCCCAGAGTGCTAGGATTACAAGTGTATGCCACTATAGCCAGCTATAAAGGCTTGTATTGCTTCAACTTCCTACCAGGACGAGCTTCATTTCCTTAACTTTCTCTGGTTATAGAAGCAGTTTTTATAGATTGAAAAAATGGCACTCCCAAGCAGGAGCTACCACTCAGGGAACCCCCACCCCACTGTACCCATAGATGTCGCCTCTGAGAGGAACCCCGACTGCTTCCACCCAGGCTACAATTAGAAAACCATGAAAGAGGTCATTACAGCTCTTGCCTCATTCATATTCACCCCCCCCATCCGCCTACCCCCCCCACAACAAAGAGGAGACTGTAGTACCCTGGGGTGGTGAGCTCAGAGCCAGTCAGAATCTCAATCTGCACCCTTATCAGATTCCTCTGGGGCCAATTTGGCATTGCACCTGTGCAGGCCGCCATCCTGTTGAAGCAAGCTCTCCTCACCAACTCGGGGTTGGCCGCCTCCTCCACCTCTGTCTGGGCTTGTGTGCCCTAGGTGGTCATGAGAACTAAGACATTTAGCAGTGCTCTGCTGAGCCTCAGCAGGCCTAGTCCTGCCCATTTTGCTCTGCTGAAAAGTGCAAAGCCACAAAGCGACATCTAGGAGAGCTGCCAGGAAGCATTTACAACTGTGGGACAACAGCCTTGTTGTTTGGGAGCCCGTGTGAGCTCTGCCAACACACTCCTCCGTGCCTTTCCTCCAAAGCCTAAGGTTTTTGCTTTGTTTTGGTGTTCAGGATTTTTTTTTCCTTTGATTTTT